CTGCTACTGGGTGAGAAACAGAATAAAAAAGTTCCAAATAAAAATGAAATGGTTGTTTCTGATCACAGTGAGCATTTTCACTCCTCCCCATAAATACCAGGGGTGATCTGACAGAGAGTGTTAATTATCTGATGGAACTGTACAGAATTAGTAGAAAGCCCATGTGATTTTCATGGGCAGAAGAGACATTTTTCTTAACAGTTCTGTCACCGAAAGAGAATGATTTGAATAAGATGTAATGCCATAAACATCAGTAGCAGTTGCTGTAGGAATGGAAACTAGAAAATACTGGAGACAGTCAGAAGTTCAAGCAATATCCTTGGACAGAGGGGAGTAGGGTTGAGGCTTTGGGGTCTGTTGTTGTAGTGATGGGAACCAGGTTGGCCTTGTTGACTACAAGGTCATTGATTGGGGTTGTTAGCCTGGACCAATCAGGAAAGCCCTGGCTGACTAATAGATGTGAATCTCCTCAGTTCAGACGACTGACTCTGAGCTGGCTGGCTGTGGCCATTGTTCCTGTGTGGAAGAAGGAGAAGGTTTCCTGTTGGAGTGTCTCTTTTGGCTGTATTAAAGCCCACTACGATTGCTGCTGCTGCTACTACTAAAAAAATTATAACCAGGAGATGTGAATCTCCTCAGTTCAGGGACTGACTCTGAACTGGCTGGCCACAGCCAGTGTATTGTGCACAATTAAATAAAGGGTCACTTAGTGATGGGATACTGGCCTCTGTACAGTTATTTCAGATGTAATCCACATTCCAACATTTTATGTTTTTTCCTGCAGAATATTATATGTTTAAGCTTCTCCTCTGTCATTCTCTTCCTCTTATTATAGCAAGGACAGGAATGCAAAGGCAGATTCCGTACAGCATGTGGCAAAAAATCATTCTGAGATTATTTTAATGTGGACATAAAGTACATGAAATCTTTTGATAATTTTCTGCTTGGAATAAGATCATTGATATTCTGTGTCAGATAGTGATTGATTGTGGGACTGTCCTGGCTGGTCAGTATGGTATATAAGTTGCTAATTTAACATCAAGCTGATCACTGTCTGAATGCATGCAGTGCTTGGCTTCGGCACATTAATTCTGCTGCATGTGGACTGAATGCACTACCACCTGTTTCTGTGTCAGAGTTGATGTTGGTATTTTAGTAAATAATTTTCAAACTTTTCCACTATTAACAGCCCCAAAACAGGAAACAATGATGTCCAGTCTCTTGAAAGTAACACTGAAAGCAACCTCAATACAACATCTCAAGAAATCCTGGGAGGGCAAAAGGATGTATCACCAGAAGGCAAAGAGAAAACAGATCTTCAAATTGCCACAGATCCAAAGGTTCCATTGTTAATTAAAAACAAAAATAGCTTGTTGTCTTCACTGGAAGACACTGTGTTGGAAGGAAACATCTTGGATGTTAATTATATGTTTGATGATACAAATACTTCTGGGGCTGTAGGTACTGGTCTCTGCCTGAAAACTAGCTCCTTACCAGTACAAGAAAATGGTGCAGAGAGTGTAACGGAGGAAAGATTCTCAGATCGACTGCATCGTGATGAGCAGCTGGACAAAACAGATGAGCACGACTCAGATTGTTCACCCCAGGGCACACCAGGGAGCATTCAGTTACCTGCCCCAGAGACTAAGTGCAGCCTTGTGTTGCCAGAACCAGGAACTAAAGAATCCATCAGGGAGGAAAATCCAGCAAGAAGCACAGATGGCAAAGGCAATTTGTTAATGGTCGAAACTCAAGACCCAATGTATATGACAGCCGTGCATTTAGATAAACATACTGAGCATGTGGCAGTCACAGGTCACAATGCTGTCATTTATCCTCAACTCAAAGTTGAAAATGAGCAGCTCATGAAAGAAGTGGTCACTGATAAAGAAGAAAAGCTTGTTTCACCAAAGGTCAGTCTTAGACAGACAGGGGTCTCTACTACAGTGTCAGAATATGCAGTAAATTTGTCTGAGGGAGTGGCGCTGGAGGGGAATGAATTGAGTTTTAGTCATGGTTTTGATCACCACCATGCCTCTATCAGTGAAGAAAATGAGTGCAGTTTTCTGCCAAGCGCAGAACATCAAAAAAGCCATGCAAACATGGAGTTACTGTCTATCTGTACGTCAGATTTTGATCCTTCTCAACTGAATGTGACACTGCTAGCAGTCTGTGATGAGCAACAGAAAACACAGAATATAGATCAAGAAAATATCTCCACAGAAAGCACCTGCAATCTTGTAACTATGACAGAGAATATTCCAGAAACTGCAGCCTTGTCCTCAGTCCAGCAGAATCCCAGTGCTCCAGGAACAGGAGAAAAGCTAATGATTCTCAGTTGTAGTAGTAAACAGGGTCAAATTTATAATCAGGAGACAAAAACTAATGTTTGTGAAGAAGAGTTGGGCACGAAAGATGTACTTACAATTAACCCTGAAACGATTGATGGTTTGGAACCAAAAGGGACAGTACTAGTTTACAATGATGAAGAACAGATTTGTGCCAGTGAATCAAAAATAAAGATTTGTGATGCAGATGTGTGGAATCTTCAAGAAAATGCCAATTCAGCACTGACTAATCAGAATAGTTACTCAAAGAACACACCAGGGGTGCTTCTGAGCTTCTGCAATGATGGTAACCAGCAGACTCAAGGCAGTGAGGAGCAAACAGAAGTTTTGGAACAAAAATTATCAACAGTGCAGGGTGACATGGAAAGTTCTTCTTTTCCAAAAATATCTGAATCGCCACTCTGTCAGAACTTGGACTCTGCCCAGGGATTCCAAAATGACCAGCAAGTGTGCAGCACTGAAAATGAAGATGACAGACTTGAGAAAAAAGGGGCTACTGTTCAAACTGGGGGAGAAAATGGGTTTCTGCAAGATAAAATGGGGCTGTCTTCTAGCTCTCAGGATCTTGATTCAGTGACCGTGAAAGGAGAACTACAGAACATAAAATCTCTGAGCGAACAGCAAGAAGATACTGGTGAGATACAAACTGAGGTTTGTGTAGAAATGTCTGCAGAGGGGCTGCCCTGTTTGCAAAAGGACGCAAGTTTGGAAAACATAATGTTACTACACACAGTTGAGATGACCCCAAGCTCTGAGACTCCTCACACAGTGAATGTAGATGAGATATTCATTCTCAGTACTGAGCAACATCAGACAAGTAACAGCAAAGCAAAAAATTGTGGAGGAAACGTGCATAACTCTCACACGGAGTATGTAGAATTACCACAGAGCTCTGGGGTTCCTATTACAGTTATAACAGAAAAGGCACTGTTATCTGGCACTATTGAAGAGCAAGTACATGAGAGCAAGTGTGACTCGCAGGCTAGTTTAGAAACTTCCATATTGTCCGAGAGCATGCAGTCATTGCCTAATGATCAAAACAGTGACTCAAAAGAAGCAACAGCAGAGAAACTATCAGATTTCAGTTATTCCACTGGACAAGCATCAAGATGTGTTGTTGAAACACTCTGTCAAGAAGATTTGAGCAGGAATCAGATGATAAAACGTATTACAATCCCAGCAGCCATGCAGCTGCCAGCTGGCTCAATCTTTCCCGGTACAGCTGAAGTGAAAGAATCATTTTTGTCTGCCAGTAGTGAGCAGACATGCAGCAGTGAAAAGCAAGAGAAAGTTTCTGACAAAAATATGTGCAGTCCTACTCCAGAAAGCACTTTGTTTTTAGAAACAATGGACTTACCACCTGCGCCTCAGAATATCAACTCAACAGGCATGAAAAATGAACAGGAGGGTTTGAGCCATGGCAGTGTACAGCAGACAGGACAGGAAGAAATCAAAGGAAGCCCTGGTAAAGGAGAAGTGTACAGTTTCCAGACAAGTCAGCAAGATATGATTTCAGAAAGAGTGGGATCATGGCTGGTCCCTCAGCATACTGCTGGCACTGAAATGAAAGAGGCCTCACCGATCTTCAAGAGGGAACAGCTACAAGTATTGATCAATGAAGAACAACAAAAGGATTATGAGCGTAATGTAGGCTGCCTTCACGAAAGTCTTGAAAATAGCACTCAGTCAACAAACATAGGATTGGCATGGACTATTCCGGATGCTACAGCTAAAGAAAGAATGTCAGAGGGTTTTGCTCATGAGCAACAGGAATTGTGTGATAGGCCTTCTTTGAATGCACTACGCACAAAGAAATCAGACAGCCCTCAAAGGCCTGGAAGGAGCATTAGAATTCCAGAAATCGCTGAATCACCACCCAGTATGCAGAATCCTGATGCACTGGAACATGGAAAATTATTATTAACAGGATTCAGCAATGAACAGCAGCAGGCAGGCAGTGAGATAGCCAAAGGAAAAGACTTTGAAGACAACGTGCAGAATCTGCAGATAGATACTGTGGAGGTTATTGCCATGAGCACGGATTTGTCACCCAGCTCAGAGATTCCTAGCACTGATGGACTAACAGAAACATTGCTTAGCCACAGAGAACAGCAAACACATGTCAGACACCAGCAAGATACAGTGTCTGAGGGCAATACTTATGACTTTCCAACTGGTGCAGAAATGAGCTTGTTCGAACAAACCAAGAAATTATCTCCTACAACTCAGAATATTGGTTCCAAAGCTACAGGAAATGAACAGCTGCCACTGATTTATGACAGTGAACAGGAAGTAGTACGTGGAGAAATGGCAGTGAATCTCTCCAGAGAAAAAGCGTGCAGCTTTCAGACTGACCAAGAAGGAGTGGAATCATTGCTGGCCTCTCAGCATGTGGCTGGCATTGGAATGAAAGAGACATTACTGACCATCAGTGGTGAACAGCCACAAACAATTGTTAGTGAAGAACAGCAAAATGATTATAAGGGAGAGGTTTGCAGTTATCAGGAAGGTCTTGTAGAGATTGTACTGTCAACAAGCACAGAACATGCACTGAATCTTCAGGGCACTACAACCAAAGAAAAGACATCAGAAGATTTTGGCTGCTCTAATATAATGCAGCAGGACACTGAATTGAAATATAGATCCCCGGAAATGAATGTAGAAATATCCCAGGTATCTGTGGAAAATACTTTTCCTCCAGAAGCTATTAAATTATCAACTGATGTAGAGCAATCTGAGGTAGTGGAAAATAGTAATATATTACCAGGGTTCAGCAGGCAGCAGGCAGGCTGTGAGATCAAAGAAAAAATATTTGAAGGAAGTGAGCTAAGTTCTATGGGAAACATTGCAACTCCAGAAGCACAGAAGTCAGCAGTCAGCTGCCAGATTCCTGATACTACAAACCTGGAAGGGACAAGAATTGGATACAGCAGTGAGCACCAGCAAGTGGATGAGAATGGGAAACAGGAAGTGACTGAAAAAAATTTGTGCTGCTTCCTCACTGGTACTGAAACTATGGAAAATATTTTGATCCCTCAAGCCCTTCTGGGTCTCAGCACAAGTGCAACAAGTCAGGAATTTTTGGTTTTTAGTGTTGATAAGAAACAACAGCAAATATCCTCGAAAGGAATAGAAGACAACTACTTTGGGGAAAATGTAGGTCATCTTCAACAAGGTGAAGAAAATATTCCCCAACACTCAATCACAGAATGTCCTGCTCAGTGTCCTAATTCTGAGATGCCGAAAGAGGTATTGAGCCTTGAGCCTGATGTGGAAAAGCCTGATGTGGAACATCAGCAAACCAGTGAGAATGCAACAAATGTTAATATTGCTGCTGAATGTATAAGCAGTCTTCAGGTAGGTATGAAAACCACCCTTCTGGAATCCATCACATTGATGCAGAATCCACCTGTTCCTCAAACCCATGAAGCAGAAGAGTATGATCTGTCTCTGGCATTTAGACAACAGCCACAAATCTGCAGAAGTCCAATGGAAGAAAACAGCACTGAGAATAATGTATGCAGTCTTATGACTGGAGTCGAAAATGTAACTGGACTGACGATAGAATTAATAGCTGGCTTGGAGAATCGCCTCACAGAGGAGGCAGTGAAAAATCTGCTGGGGCTCAGCTGTGAAAACAATCAGCAGAAAAAATGCAGTGATGAACAGAATGAGGAAATTTATGTTGAAAATGTACATGGCTTCCAACTGGATGTAGCAAAAGACCTCCCAGATGAACTGATTCCCCGTGAAGTGACCCATTGTCACGAAGAAGTGAAAGAAGCATCACCTCGTTTTGCTAATCAACAGCAGCAAATATGTAGCAATGAGGCAAAAGGAAATGCCTCTGAAGAAAATCTTTGCAGGATTGAGATGGTTTCAGAAGCCGTTGGGTTGACACCTGGTTCAGAGGCTCCTGAAACATCAAAAAAATCTCTGCCAGTTGTAAGTGAACAGCTGCTAACAGGTATCAGTACAATGGGAGATAGCATTTCTGACATGTGCCATCAGACAGGCAGTGAGCCTGTACCCACAGGAATCATGAAACTAACGGCCAGCCTACACAATCGTGATGAAGTAAAAAGAAAAGAGCCATTGCAAAGCTTTTGTGGAGATCTAAATCAAGAACTCAACCTCAATGTTGAATCAAAAGAAAATCTTCAGGAAGAAACTGTGCAGGTATCAAGTACAAGTGCAGAGGACCCTGAGTTGTCAGTGAGAAAAGAATTGACAACTTGCACACGGGCTGCCCTGACCGAGTGCACAATGGGTTTCAGTGGTGACCAGCAGACAGAAAGGATAGACAGACTTCAAGTTGGCATTGCAGCTAATTCGTTTCCAGAAACTACAGAATTGATACTCGATATTCAGATTCCTGATGTGGAGAGAGTATCCATTTTTAGTAATGAGCAGCAGATATGCAGCGATAAAATTGAAGAGGCAGGAGCAGATGGGAAAGCTGTCTCTTCCTTACAGAGTAGTGCAGACAATATTATTAACCCTGAAAGTATGGAATTGGCACCACCGATATTTCAGGATTCTGTCACCCCTGAACTGATGGCTTTCAATAATGAGCAACAGCAAATATGCAGCAGTGGAATGAAGACAGCAACCTCTAAAGAAGGTGGCAGTATAGAAGATAACTTGTGCCCAGATACCACCTTGATGTTCCCATCTAGTCTTTCAAAAAATTATAACATGGACTTTGGGGAAAAGCTTTCAGATTTCAGTACAGAAGAGAGCATCGCAGAAAAGAACCGCTTTAAATCAGAATCTGATACTGAAATCACTGCGTCCTCAGACACAGCAAAATTTCAATCCAACTTGCAGATTCATGAGCCGTGGAATGGAAAAGATTATTTATTAGCTTCCAGTGTTGACAGTGTCAAGAACCAAAACTCCAGTGAAGAATCAGAAAAAAATGTGAAGAACATTAAAATCGGTGAAGAAAGTGTAATCCTAGAAGCCACAAAACTGACATCCATGTGTCAGGACCCTGAAGGAGTGGAGCTGAAGGGAATGTCATTGGACTCTGAGAATGAGCCACAGCAAACTTGCAACACTAAAAGCAAAGAGGCAAGCAACATTCTGATTGATAGCAAGAATATTTCAGTCCAAGCGCCTACAGAATTGTTGTCTAGCTCCCAGAAATTTGATACTAAAAAAAATGGGGATAAATTGTCATGTTTCAGCTGCGACATTAAACAACAGTCAAGTGATGATGAGACAAAATTGAGTATCTTCAAAGAAAAATCATGCTTTGATGAGAAGGGTATAGACATTTCTGTACTTCCAGGAAATGTGCAGTTGTTATCTCGCTCTGGTATTGTTACTGAACTGCAGGAAACAACAAGCGGTACACTCAGCAAAGCTCAGCAAATATCCATTAATGAAACAAAAGAAGATATAGCTGTTGCAAATGCAGGTTGCCGTAAAAGTGTAATCCCAGAATCCAATGAGTTAATTTGTAATTCCCTGTGCTGTGATGCAACAACAAAAGAAGAAATTTTAAATCAAACATATGGCAGTGAGGAACAGCAGATCCTGAACCTGAGTGGAAAAGAAAGTGTTAATGGGAATAGTTTTGGGAGCATTAAAAAAGGCATGACTTTTGGAACAGAACCAGAGACAGATTTTCCTCTTTGCAATCTCTCTGTTTCTGAAGCTGTCAAAGTAAACCAGCTTTTGGCTGTAGCTTCAGACAGTGAACAATATAACAATCTAATGTCACATAGTACATGTGAGAAGGAATTAAGTTTAGAGATGGATTTTGCTTCAGGAAATGACAAACTCCCAGAGGAAGTGGAGAAAGAGATCATCTCAGCAGGAGGCACAGATTGTAAAAACCATGCTGCGTCTCGGGGAATGCAGCTTCTCAAATCCATGACCATTGAAAACAAGGAACCCAGCAATGCAACTGAACACCTGCTCTCATTGCACGTTAGAGACGGAACAGAAAGCAACTTAGAAATTGATGCCAAAGAACAGGAAAGCATTATAGGTGTTCTACCATCGGGGAGTTGTGCTGGAATAGATCCAAATTCCATTAAGAAACAATCTTGTGTGTCTGATATTGAATTTGGAAATGAGTTCTTACTTGCAATAGAACGATCAGCCACACCAGACCACAGTTCTCCCCACACATTAGCAGATGTAAAGGAAGAGGAGGTTCTGCCTGCTGTATGTGCAAACACTGAGGTCAAAGTAACTGAAAAAGGACTTAAGGAAGGATTAAAGACTGAAAGGTACATATGTCTTGCTTTTACACATTCACATAAGTATATTTATATGGTTATCAAATGTTAATAGTAACATATGGACATTCCAATTTCTAATTCTTCTTTTCCTGCTCTCTGTTGACTAGTCCTTCTCCTGAATTTGCCTCCTCTTCACCTCTGCATGAAAAGGATGCTGAGAGTGTAATTTGCACAGTAACAAGATGTGCATTGGATAACACCAGACTGACCACAAGGTAGAAAAAGACTGAAAAAGTTGGACAAACTGCCATCCAACTTAAATTAATGAATTTTCATAATAACTAGAACTGTGAATGTTGACCACACAGAAAGTGGTACTGTGTCCTCACTTGGTCTTTGCTGGAACAAATTCGTATCCCACTGCCCAGCTCCTTCATCACTCCTTTGCTTCAAAATGAATCTGTCTTTTTCATAATTGATGCATTGCTTCAACTATTTCCTGGAGCAAACTGTCCCATACTCCAACAACCGTAAAGAAGTTTTATCTTAACTCTCTCTTCTCCCACTGATAATCGAGTGATTCCTCATCACCAAATCATTGTCGCAGAGGATAGATTTGTATCTGATTCATTTTATCAACACGTTAGGTAATTTTGTTAATACGGGAATTATAAAGTTACCTACATGTACACATTCAATGGAAACTGGAGCAAACTTATCATCATTTGTCATCATTTTTCAATAATTTAAAATCATAACTTCAAAACAATTTGATAAGAAAACATAAATTTTGAGATTTTTTAATATTGAGTGATGTAAGATTGGAGTTAATTTAATTGATCCTGGTCTCCTGCTTGGTGTTTTATTGATGGATATTTGCTTCCCGCGGATCAAGATTGATAATTTTCAAGAACTTTCTTAAATGTGGTAGAATATTTCTCAGTCCTGGCAGCTGCTTAACTTCTTGCATCTCATGAAGTTCAGTTTGTTTCAAAGTCCGAAGTGGGAATTAAGTAATTTTCTTTCCCTTTATATGTGATAGTTTTCTTTTAAAATTGTATAGCAATTGATTGTGACATCTGGAGTGTGCTGGATATCCCATTGCTTTCAAAATACATTGATACATTTTACACTCAATTTGAATGTAAAAGCATACAAGGCTAAGGCTTCAGAGAGAGAATAGGTCATTGTTTACGGTAGATTGAGCAGCGACTTGTTTTCTTGGTACAGACAGTAATATAAAAGTGTTTGCTGACTTGACAGGCTAACAGAAAAGGTAACATCTTACATTTATATAACAATTTTCATAATCACCAGCTGTCTTAAAGTATTTGTAGCCATTGAAATGCTTTTGAAGTGTAGTCAGTGTTGCAATATTGCAACTTACATGCTATTTCAAGATACTTCAAGAAGTTAGTGACAATCAACTGACATCAGAACTCAGTATAATTGATAAATGCCACTATGCAATAGCCAATAATTTCAGCATGGTGTCATTGAGTTCATGGTTTTGTGGCCTCATTGCAACTGCAATGGAGGGTTCACGCCAGGAGCTGTGCCCAACGTCATTTCACTGTCTTGAAAAACTTGAGGCCATAACATGTGCTAAAGCAGTCAATGTGGTACGCTTTTTGTTTTGGACATTTCTTAGGTTGAATGTAAGAACACAATTGAATAAGTTAAAGAAATACAGAGCATGGTACATATCTCAGAAATGCATTTACATCCAATCTTCTTATTGATTTGCTCTGAATATAGAGGGCTAAGTGGATGAGAAATTTTGTTTCTATTCCATAAATAAATTTGCAATCATGAAAACTGACCTCAAGTATTACTGCTAGTCTAAGGACACTTAAAATTTCAGACATTTTCACTGCAGTACATCCCATAAAGCTGGAAGTGAATGCAGTGTGTTTTTGTTAATGAACATCTGAACAATAGTGCCTTTGATGGATAATTAATTCCAAAATGATCACGTTTGCACCCTGATTATTGATTGGTTTTAACCAGTGAATCATTGAGCCTCTATGATTTGGAAGACCCAAGTTTTGATGCCTTGTGTGCACTGAGTCATCCTATTTGGTCAATGTAAAGTATAATCAGTTTGGTGCTTGAGTTGATGTGGGTTCCCATTCCTGATTGTAACAATACCTGCACATTGACATATCATAAGGACAGTTGTGGTTTTAGTTGTGATGCTGGTTCCATTCAAATAGCTTGCTATATCTCACTATCAAAGCTCACGCGTGACTGTTTGCCAGTTGTGTAAGGTGAGGGTTCCAGTGCATATGAAAACATAGAGAAGTAGGAAAGAAGAAAATTACAGGACAGAATTGAAGGAGAATTTCCTTTTAATGAGCTGTTTGCATCTTTTAATTCTCTGTTTTAGTTACTGAATTGAATTTACTATTGGATCTTTAAAACCTCTCATAGGAGATTCTGGATCATAAGAAATCAAAGCAGGAGTAACCTTTTCAGCTCATCAGGCTGGTCTCCATTCGGTAAGATCATGAAGACCTGTTTGTGGCCTTAATTCTAGTTTCTTGCCTGCTCCCCATAATTCAATGCCCCTGTCAATCAAAATTCTGCCTAAGTCAGCCTTAATGCTCAATGACTCAGCCTCCACTGCTGTTGGGGGTAGAAAATTCTAAAAATTAATGACCCACTCTGAGAAGGAATTCTTCCTTGGGTTACTGTGTGCAGATGTGGTCACCACACTATAGGAGGGATGTTATCGCACTGAAGGGGTGTAAGGGAGATTCACCAAACTATTGCCTAAGGTGGATCATCTCAGCTATGATTAGAGGCTGGATAAGGTCAGATTGTTTTCTTTGGAACAGAGGAGGTTGAGGGGGAGTTTGATAGTGGTGTGTAAAATTTATGAGGGGCATGGAGAGGGTGAATAGGAAGCAGCTGTTCCCCTTAGCCAAAGGGTCAATAATAAGGGATCATAATTTCAAAGTGAAAGATAAGAGGTTTAGAGGGGATTTAAGAAAAACCGGTTTCACCCATAAGTGGTGGAGGTCTGGAATGCACTTACTGGGTGGTTTGTTGAGGTAGGATAACTCACAACCTGTAACAAGTACTTGTATGAGCACTTGAAGTGCCATAATGTTCAAGGCTATGGTCCAAGTGTGGGAAAGTGGTGTTGGTGTATGTATTCTGTTTTTTAGTGGTATAGACTTGATGGGCTGAAGGGCCTCCTCTGTACTGTATGATTCGATGATTATCTCCATCTGGAATGAAAGGCGTCTTATTTTTAAATTGTGCCTTCCAGTACTAGTAATCCCCATAAGGGGAAATATCCTCTTGGCATCTAACCTGTTCAGCCCCCTCAAATCTTATGTATTTCAATAAAATCATTTCCCAGCTCCAAACAGGGTCATCCCAACTTGTTCAATCCTTCCTTATAAGACAACACTTTCATCCCAGAATCAGCTGAGTGTGCCTTCTACAAACTTTCAATGCACCTATATCTCTTGTTAAGTAAAGAGACCGGAACAATGGACAGTAATCTACGTGTGGTCTTGCCAATGTTTTGTACAGTTGTAGCAAGATCTCCATATTTTAAATCAACATCCCCATTGCAATAAAGACCAAAATTCCAGTTGCCTTCAAATCACTTTCACGCTTATCCTGATCCTCGCAACATTACCCTTAACTGCTCTTTACACAATATCCTGTCACTATCTACTTAGAAATGTCCTCTCATCCCCAAGCATACACTATCCTAGTGGACACTCCCCACATAATCCTGAAAATTGTAGTTAAACCCCATGACCTGTCCTATGAGACCATTGATTTTCCTAACCTCAGACTGGAACCTGCCTTTCAAATGGACCTCCAGCTGTAACTGTGTGAATGTTTTCCTTTTACCAGCTAACACCCTGAAATGGACCCATAGGGTATTGATCCTGCTCTTTAGGCCACTCCTGTATCTTGACTGTCTGTTCCCATCACCCATACTCCATTCCACAACCAGGATACCAGACACTTCCCACTTCACATCTCCGTGCCTTTGGTCCGACCTCAGATCTCTGTTCGAGTCCTTCATGACCTCAACCCCACTGTCTCCACTAATGCCACACCATCACCCACCCCCACCTTTACAAACATGCGAACTAGGAGCTGGATTAGACCATTCAGCCTTTGACTCTGCTTTGTCAATCAATTAGATCGTTTAATTAGATAATTATTTAGATAATTGTAGTCTCAAATCAACTCCTGAAAACCTTTCAACCTCTTGTTCACCTTAAAAAAAAATTCAAGGGGTTCTGCTTCCACCACCTTTCAAGAAGAGATTTCCAAGGACTCACGACCATCAAAGAAAATATTTCACCTCATCTTGGTTTTAAATGGGCAACCCCTGGTCTTTAAACAGTGACTCAAGTTGTAGATACTCCCATTCGAGGAAGCACCCTCTCCATAGCTACACTGTTAAGACCTTCAGGATCCTTCTTAAAAAGGTGACCAACATTGTCTACTAGTCTAGACTATGGTGCCCTGTATAAATGAAGCATAACGTCCCTATTTTAGAGAAAAGGGGACAAAGTTTTTGACAGTCAACCCTTTTGAAGAAAAAAACCAGGGTTTCTGTTCAAGGTTATTTTGCTTTGAGATTGGATCCTTTGAAATTGACATTTAAATGTTTAATTTGAAACATTACTTGAAGTTTCTCAGCCATTTTAAAGGGAGTAAGAATCTTTAGATTGTATCTCTTTTAAAGTAATGAACAAAGATATTTTATATAAATGCATTAAAAATTTCTTCACTAATTATCAAATAAAACTATTTTCAAAACAGCGGAATATTCAGAACAAAAGGCTTTTTGTGAGAAAGTCCAGTGAGAATTATATTTTAATTCTGAATTTCAAAAAAGACTGTTGTTTGTTGTTTTGAAGTAGCTTTAAAGCTAAATGTCTACTAGGTTACAGACAACAATGTAACATCTCCAGCAATGATTAACTAAGAATTAATGTACAATTGTGCTTAGCAAAGAATGAGGAAACTGTATTATTGGTAAAAGCATGGATTGTTAGATACTTAAATATTGCAATAGGCTTGCAGATGTTGCCTGAAAAATGATCATTGCATAGATTAGTCTGTACATTTTTTCACAGTATAACTTCAGTCAGTTGTCATTTGCCAGTTATCCTGTTGCACTAACAGCCACAAATAAATATGTTTACCTCACTTTCCTTCTAAAAGCAGTTCATACATGAATTTAACTGAACTCAGAGTTTTAATCGAAAATATGATCCTTGTCTACACTGAT